TTAAAGTCTCACCACTTGTATAACATTACACATTCCAATACACATATAAAACATAGCGTATAACATAAAACATTTCAATACATATATAAAACATATCGTATATTAAAACTAACAGTAAAATATCATCAGCTTAAATACTAAAACATATACAAGCGCCATTCTATTAAGAATTATGAGAGACTATTAAAGGATTAATTATATACAATATTTTACATAATTTCAAAACTATATATTTCTAAAATTGAAAATACATCATCAGCTATATATAAATAAGAAATTTGTTCTTCTACATAAAATATTAAAGCAGGTTTTAGCAACTACCTGACATACATTGTAGTTCTTTTGAATAAAAATACAAACTTTTCGTCCTAAACAAGTTATAAAATTGATCATTATGCTTTACTGCTTCACCATACAATATATTTCGAAGGTCTGCATATAAAGGACATAAATTAAATACATGTTTTTCATCTTCAATTTCAATTTTACATATAAAACAAGATCTGTCGTTTAGTTTATTCTCATATCGTCCTGTTTCTTTTTTAAGTGGCGCAACGCCACATCTAAATTTTGCATACGCACTTCTAAATTTAATAGACATATTTTGTTTTAAATATAACTCTGTACAATATTGTGATTTATATAGCTTATAAGTACGAATCTTGTTACCTTTTACTCGGTGACAACAGTTTCGTTTGCTATTCTGCAATATATTTATTAAATAAAACATTTTCAAGTTGTAGAACAATATTCTTATGCAGCACACTGTTAAGACTAGCATACAATTCAAAATTACAATCTTTTAGTTATTTTCATGACTCTATTACACCAGTTTTTCTTATTAATTACAGCATTTTTATGTGACCATTTGAACACTTTATGATGTATTCTGTCATTGTTCATGACACAACAACTTGCCCAGTGCCATGTCCATTGTTTTACACTAGGTGGTCTCCAGCCCATGTCCCCGTTAATAGCATCATTTGGCGTATATTTGCCAACACCCATAAAAAAAAACGATAGCTCTGTATCTTGTATCTAACACCATTCAAATTTTATTATGTTGGACTAAAAGAGGACTCGATAATAGTTTTTTTTATAAAAATGCAAAAGTAGGCAGAATGTATTATTTGGGCCATATGAATGACAGAATATAATTGACCAGTCAACATACAGCTTAAAACGACTTATTACACAAAATATACATCGTTCAAACATATACTGCAGTCTACATTCTGTGGATACTGTTTATATTTTGGTGTAGAAAAAGCGTTCCTCATACTGTTTATGGCATCTTTACATTGAATCCGTTCGATGTGTACTGATTGATACTTTAAACTGGAAGAACATGATTTATTTATCAGTTGAAATTGGGTTTGAACTAGCTTTGAGTAACCGCAATTTATTTTATATCGTTATGTTGGTTTTTTTTATATTAGTTGTGTTTGTGTGGTTTGTGTGCTTCGTACCGATCTTTGGGGTTGAGCCATTTTTAAGTTAGAGATTGTTCTTATATGGGGTTTTTTTCACACCACTGTTCCAGGTAAACATGTTTAATCCTGCCACATTCTTTATGAGCCTGTTGCAATTCAGAATCATGTACTTAAATGGTTGTCGTTTGTTCAATGACGTGTCTGTCATATTTGTTTTTTTTTCGTAATGTTTTTTAATTTAAATGAGACCGTTAGTTTTTTTCGTTTGAATTATTTCACATTTTTCGTGTCTGATTTTTTCGTGACTATACGGTAGGATTTTTTCTCATTGTGGAAGGCCATACGGTGACCTACAATTTCTTATATCCACCTCGTTTGAAGTCTTGTTGATAGTTGTCTCATTGGTATGTATGCCTCATCTCCTTTTTATAAAGAAATAACACGAACAGCACATTTCAGTTAGCCCAAATTTTACACAGACACAAAGGCTGATGGGGTTTAACAGGTTTTTAATAGTGTACACAAACCTCCTTCTTTGCCAATCTTTCGTAATGTTATTAATCAAAAAAAAATATTTGTCGTAATGTGATTGATAAAAAAAACCGTGCACAGTACAGGTACAAACCAAATTGGCTTATAAGTACGAATCTTGTTACCTTTTACTCGGTGACAACAGTTTCGTTTGCCATTCTGCAATATATTTATTAAATAAAACATTTTCAAGTTGTAGAACAATATTCTTATGCAGCACACTGTTAAGACTAGCATACAATTCAAAATTACAATCTTTTAGTTATTTTCATGACTCTATTACACCAGTTTTTCTTATTAATTACAGCATTTTTATGTGACCATTTGAACACTTTATGATGTATTCTGTCATTGTTCATGACACAACAACTTGCCCAGTGCCATGTCCATTGTTTTACACTAGGTGGTCTCCAGCCCATGACCCCGTTAATAGCATCATTTGGCGTATATTTGCCAACACCCATAAAAAAAACCGATAGCTCTGTATCTTGTATCTAACACCATTCAAATTTTATTATGTTGGACTAAAAGAGGACTCGATAATAGTTTTTTTTATAAAAATGCAAAAATAGGCAGAATGTATTATTTGGGCCATATGAATGACAGAATATAATTGACCAGTCAACATACAGCTTAAAACGACTTATTACACAAAATATACATCGTTCAAACATATACTTCAGTCTACATTCTGTGGATACTGTTTATATTTTGGTGTAGAAAAAGCGTTCCTCATACTGTTTATGGCATCTTTACATTGAATCCGTTCGATGTGTACTGATTGATACTTTAAACTGGAAGAACATGATATATTTTTCAGTTGTAATTGGGTTTGAACTAGCTTTCAGTAACCGCAATTTATTTTATATCGTTATGTTGGGTTTTTTTTATATTAGTTGTGTTTGTGTGGTTTGTGTGCTTCGTACCGATCTTTGGGGTTGAGCCATTTTTAAGTTGGAGATTGTTCTTATATGGGTTTTTTTTCACACCACTGTTCCAGGTAAACATGTTTAATCCTGCTACATTCTTTATGAGCCTGTTGCAAGTCAGAATCATGTACTTAAATGGTTGTCGTTTGTTCAATGACGTGTCTGTCATATTTGGTTTTTTTTTCGTAATGTTTTTTAATTTAAATGAGACCGTTAGTTTTTTTCGTTTGAATTATTTCACATTTTTCGTGTCTGATTTTTTCGTGACTATACGGTAGGATTTTTTCTCATTGTGGAAGGCCATACGGTGACCTACAATTTCTTATATCCACCTCGTTTGAAGTCTTGTTGATAGTTGTCTCATTGGTATGACTGTATGCCTCATCTCCTTTTTATAAAGAAATAACACGAACAGCACATTTCAGTTAGCCCAAATTTTACACAGACACAAAGGCTGATGGGGTTAAACAGGTTTTTAATAGTGTACACAAACCTCCTTCTTTGCCAATCTTTCGTAATGTTATTAATAAAAAAAAAATATTTGTCGTAATGTGATTAATAAAAAAAAAACGTGCACAGTACAGGTACAAACAAGATGGCCACTACCTTGACAACTAAATAAAAGACGGCACATAAATTGTAAAAAGGGCTCGACATGTGTTCACGACTACTGGGGGATAGATAAGGCACAGCCGCAACTGTTAGTTAAATATTGTCGTTCAAGAAAACAGAATAGACGTACCTGTAGAAAACTTATTTCAAACGGGATAGCACATCCTCATTTTTAGCGAGATGTTGTTTACCGAACCCGGAAATTTAGATCTTTGAATATTGTTTTTATTGGTATTAATATTGATTTTGTTATCAGTAAATTAAAATCAAACTAAATATTATTTTTATATACATATGCACATTAATGGCTCTACAATCTGTCGATACCTTATATTGGCATTGCACAAGGTCATGTTTTTCTCCGACTGTTTATGACTGCTTTACACTAAATCCATTTGACGTTGGATGTGTGCTGATTGATATTTTAGTCTTAGATGCATGATTTTTTTTATTAGTTGTTATTGGCTTTGAACTAGCTGTCAGTAACTGCGAGTACTCTCAGATCTGTACTTAGTGTCATTTTGTTGTGGGCATGTATAAGTACCCGTCCACGTCCACTCTGTGTTTTTGTTAGACGTATTTCTATTTGTATCCATCTGATGATTTAAGCCTTTTTCAGCTGATTTTTATAGTTTGTTCTTATGTTGTACTGTTACATCACTTTCCCAGGTTAGGGGAGGGTTGGCGCCTTCAAACGAGTTTATCCCTGCCACATTATGTATGTGCTTATCCCAAGTCAGGAGGCTGTAATTCAGTGGTTGTCATTTGTTGCTGTGTTACATATTTGTTCTTCGTTCATTGTTTTGTACATAAATTTGGCAGTTTGTTTTCTCGTTTGAATTGTTTTACATTTGTCATTTCAGAGCCTTTTATATCTGACTATGCGGTATGGGCTTTGCTCATTATTGAAGGCCGTATGGTGACCTACAGTTGCTAATTCCTGTGTCATTTGGTCTCTTGTTGATAGTTGTCTCATTGGCAATCATACCACATTTTATAAAAAAAATAAACATGTTATTTGTTTTGTGTGTCATGTATCTATAGCGAAGTTGAAAAGCTTAGACATCCCAAATTTCAACAAGTGGTTCCAAATCAAAGGCTTAAACCCCTTTGCCTAGCGTAGACGTATCTTATTTATTCGAACATATTGTCGTTATACATGTTCGAACAATGACACGTGCTGCGAATTCGTAAGTGTGTTCTAACAAAAAAGGTTTAGTCGATATATGAGTTTGACTAAGTACAATTTATTCACAGCGTTTTAGACTAGGGCCGATTAAGAGCTTGTTTAGCGTATAGAGACACCTGTCTATAATTAAAGATTGTTTGATGATTTGAGTCGTTAGTTTGCTGTCTCATTAACCTGTACCGTACATATTTTTAATTCTTATGTATTATTGAAAGGACGAGTAGAGTATCACCTTTTGTGGAGCACTGACCATTATAGTGCATCGATATATTTATCTTTGTAATGGATTCAAACAAATAAATCGAGTTGTATTTCTTTTAAATACTTTAATTTGTTCAGCGGTAAAGATTTATTTTGGTCTGGTCATCATTACAGCGTATTTTATTGAAAATCCAGACCCTTTCCATTGCTCCCACTCTATAGGACTACTTTTCTTGTTGTAATATTTGGTCAGTGATACGTTGTCACAAGCATAATACCACCATCCGGAGGTAGCGGCACAGTTTCCTTTCGGATATGTATCATTGTCACTGTCTGGCGTTGAAAAGGCAAGACCATTGTGCTTGGAGAGGGAATCACCTAAACAGAAAATTGGAGTAAAATAAAATTCTGAACAAAAAATTGCCTTAAGATTTTTATTTTTTTTTCATTCATATTTAAATATATGTCATTTACAAATTTTAAAGTAGGCGCATAATTTTGGACTGTTTGCACCTTATATACGTTTTTATACTCAAGTTATAGTATGGAGCTTAGAAATAATTTTAAACTTTTGAAGACAAATTTTCACAAAAACAGTTGTTTATGGTGGAATACTTTTGGATCTTTCATATTTATAAGCATACATTCCACCGAAAAAAATCCACATAAAGATAAAACATTGGTCTTTAAAAGCATTAATTGGCATCTCTAGATCTACTCCCGGTAATAGTGTTTTGGAAAAACTCCTTAAAAACGGCAATAATCTTTTAAAAATAAAAAGTTTGATACACCTTTTAACAAGTTTTGTGCTGTAACATGTAAAGCAAAATTATTTGATACATCATATCTCGCTTCAGATTCCATTTGCTTGTATATGTTTAGGCTACATGTTAATAATACTGTAAATTCACAGTACTTAAAATGAAATAGTTGGGTCCAGTGAAATATCTTTCTAATGACTCATGATGACTGAACAAAAGAGTAAGTTTGATTGAATAACAAAAATAAATCTTCTCGCTTCTACAAAATTATGTTTAAACTTGAGGAGTATTTCTTACTAGTATTTTGTTTTCGTTAACTCATACTCAATTAAAATTTAGGTATATTAATTATTTTATTCATGAAATCTAAAAACAAAGGAAAAGTCGGATTTATCTTCATCATGAGCGCTCAAAAAAATTAAATATTTGAAAGCCATCAATACAAATACTTTAGAAGCAAAATGAACAATATGGATCTAAAGGAAACAGCAAAAATCATCCAAGGTCGACCTGTCTAAGGATGCTGGTTCCTTAGTTTTAAAGATATAGACAACTGATATATACCACCGTACGGCCTTCTAACAATGAGCAGACTGTACAATATTAAGATTCGAGTATGTTTAAACAACTTCTGGATATTTTTGAATGTATTCGTATCAGTAATAAATAATATATAACATAATTACAATAAAATTGAGAATGGAAATGTGGAATGTGTCAAAGAGACAACAACCCGACCAAATAGCACAAAACAGCCCAAGGCCACCAATGGATAAGCTTGTTTATATCAATAATGTACACGTAAGAGGTAACGAGACGGATGGAATTTTCACAAAGAGTACAATAGAGGTAATTCAGTTTAGCTTTGATGTCAGTACAAAACCTATTTCAAAATGTTTTAATGTTGAATGAGATAGCTGAGAAAACCATTTAAATTTTGCATGTTTGACAATAATGTTTTTAGCATCAAATAAGCTTCGTTGGTGTCATCATCGGGGACCGTTTAATATATTAGTCATAATTTATTTTTGTCATCCTACTAATATTATTAGTAGGATGACAAATAAATGTTTTGAATTCAATTGTAAATTTTTTTTTGGTAGAATATTTGTCAAAACAGTTTACGATAGATTGTATTCGTTATGATGTACAAATATTAATAAGGGTCTTACCGGCATTTCCACTGTATCCTCCCACAGACAGCTTGTATTTCGATGCACTGTTTCCAACGGTAAATGACGAGTACTTGGCAAAACGCTTCTCGCCCTTGAAATTCGTCAGATCAACTCTGACCTCACAGTTACCATTGGTTGTCAAAGAGTGCAATACACTATTTCCTAACAGAAATAAGGTAGATTAATATTAAGTACAATTTTAATATGTAAAGACATTTTGCAAATTCATGGTATAATATGAATATTTAAGTTATAGTTAAACTTAAACTATGAGATAAAACGAAATGCTACATACAATGTATACGTACATGGACCCGTGCGAGACCCTCATAGGTAGTCACAGTCGTTTAACACCCCATGGTAGTAGACCATGCACTTAAGGTCAACACCTTTTTAAACATACAATTTTGTCTGATATTGTACTTTATATGCTTTACGGCAATAAAAATTATCATTATAATAATGGACCGCTGTGGACAATAAACCAGCAACAACTAGGAACAAGTAAACAAATGTTATATCTAATATAATCATGATATAAATTATAAAAGTCTAACACAGAAAAAAAAACGCACAATTGCAATTAAATGAAAAAAAAAACATATTTTTGAAAAAAGTACCTGTGGCAGTTTATTATAATTTTTTTTTATCTTGTCGGACACAAGAAAATGGAAAGTGATAAAATGGTATCAATTGTTTCTTTACAATTTGAAGTCAAAGATCAAATTTCCATTTGGAAAAATTAAGGGGGTCGTGCTTAAAATTTTTATTTGAATTACGTGTGCAACGAGTAATGGTTTTGATTACCTATCCAAAATTCTCTTTTCAAGTTTCCAAACCCTCTTTCATATGTATGCCAGTTTCTGTTGAAATTCTCACTACCATCAACTCGTCTAACAATGACCTGAAAAGTTGCAAAATCAAGTAGTCCGTTTTAAATAAAATATCATGCTGAATTAACCTATTAAACAATTCATTCATTCATTGCTTTGGATGGGGTTGAGGAGGGGTTAATGAGGGGTTACTTTCAGTTTATTTAATGCATGGCATGGAAGTATGTAATATTTATTGTAGTTAATTTTGTCTTTTTATTTATAAATGCTTACCACTACGTCCATTGGTCTCTAGTGGATAGTTTTTTAATTTGTAATGATACCACACATCTTCTATTTTTTATATCGCTTTTCTTTTTGAAAAGTTAAACTGCAATGTCTAGTTTCTTTGATTTACATCTCAATTCAACTATTGTTTAGCGAATATTGCTGTACTTCGTACAGATGTTTTGATAAGGTATGTCTACATATTACATGTTTATAAAACGTATGTGGCCCGAGAACACAGTTATTTCGTAGTGCATTTCTTTCAGACAATAAATGAAAATTTAAAAAATCGCACGTGCTCTTTCTCAATAATTTTTTTAAAGTGTATTTTACTGCTTTTGGGACAAACTATATCAAAATTATAGAAACCTTCGTCAGCTCTAATTCAAAATATGGACAATTTTATGTTAAGGGGGTCTTGAATTCTTTTGACAGCTTCAAACCATGGACTTTCTATACTATTTCTTAGTATAGAAAGTCCCTGTTCAGGCATACTAATTTTTTACCTTTTTACAGCTGGACCAAATCACTACTTTACTTTAAAATTCATGACCCAATTTTTGTTTACAGTGTAATTTCACCCCCCTACTTGCTATTTGAGGCATAAAACATGAAGATATAAATTTGGAATGTGTATAAAAAAAATTGCATAAAAAAAAGGCATACTGAAGCTTTAGGTGTAATACCACCAAATCATAGTAAGTCACATCCGGTTGCATACGAAAATAGGTCTAAAAAAATATTCCCTTGAATTTGACAGCTGTAGGTAATTGATCCTACATTTCATTGCAGTAAAACGTTTCTGAGTCATAAACATATATCTTGGGTATTTCAAAGCACCATTATTTCTTTATTTGGGGGTTCTATAGAATATTTTGGAAACTTGAGGTTACATGGTTACTAAAGCTTGTACACAGGTTCAAAAAGGGGGGAAATTTGATTGGTTAACTTCCAGTGATGGTTATTTTCTTATATGCAATGAAATGTTATGTGAATTTTTTTCTATAGTACTGGACAGGATAAAACTTTACTCATGCCAAGTATTTCTTTATTTGAAACAAAGATAAATTCTGCACAATTTTTTGAAAAGTGCAAATTTAACAAAGACTAATAGGGGAAAATCAATGGTGGTATTACACCTATAGGAAATACAAATTTGTTTCGTTTTGCTCATTTTTATACTCAGGTGACATGATATATGAAGTCTGAGTACAAAATTAAAGGACTCTTGCATTCAACTTTTTTGCAGACAGTATGGTCTGATACAAAGTTTTTTCACTTTTCAGTGAAAAACTTGCATGTAATTTTTGTCTCAACAGGCATATATTTGAACCACTTACTATCCTACAGAAGAAAAGAAAGATATTATGTGAAATGAAACAGGTACAATGACATTGTAAAGTGCTTTTTATAAAAATTTAGTGAATTATTTATGATGGACTTCAACTTTTATGTACAAAGCTCCTCACATTTTACTTGCTTCAAACAAGACGTTAGAAGAGAACCATTCATACAACATATTTTGCACATTTTTTCTGTGATAATCTACTTTTTCTCTAGAGTCAGAGTTCACAAATGATACAACTTGATAAAAGCCTAGAAACACAAATATTGACACATGAAAACCTGTCAGATAGAAAGTCAGAATGCCACTTATGCATAAAAATGTAAAAGGCTTGTAAATGCTTATTTTGACCATATAATGCCCAAATCAGGAAATGGGACATTTTGGCAGAATTATCTCTCAAATAAAAGTTTAAATCCTTTACTTTCATGCAGTTTGACAAATTGACTCCAATAAATCATTCAGGGAAGTTGCATAAGTACAGATTCTATATTTACTGGTTTCATCTCTTAGGCTCGAGAACACATGCAGTTATTTCGTAGTAAAAAAAAAGGCAGGATGAGCAACTTTGCAAAAAAAAAAGGCAGGATGACAATTTATGTAAAATAAGTCAGGATAAACTAATAAAAAAAAAGGCAGGACCGAATAGAGCGAAAAATAAAAAGGCAGGACAGAGATTACAACTAAAAAAAAGGCAGGACAACATTTTTCATCCTTGCTCCCCCATAAAAATCAAATGGTAGCTCGCTAATATCTATACAGTGTATTGTATATTGACACACGGTACCAGGCTTAAAAATTGCTTAATGGCAAAAATATTTATAGCATTTAATGGGTGATGTGTTCTTAATTAAACCTTTGATTAAAGACATAAAACATGAATGTTTGTATTCGTTATTTAATTTATTTCAAAAATATTTTTTTCCAACACAATAAACAAAAACCGAATTTAAAACTTATTAAAACATGAAACATTAACAATGTTCTGATTAATGTTGTGAATGTTTTATATTTGACTACTTAATTCGCATCTTCAAAATTGAATGCCGATTTTTGCCATCATTTTTCGCCAACAAAATCTGATCCCAGTATTCAAAACACGGTATTTTCTCATTTTTAAACTTGAATGATATGATTTTTCTAATCATATGCATTTGTTTGCAAACGAATGCTTTTCGTTGGATAATTTTACAGTTTTCTTTTTTTATTATACTTTATTGGTCAAACTTTGGTATCGATACTTTTTGTTGATTAGTATATTCATAGTGAAAGGGGTGTCTGCAGGAGGTTTTGAGTAACTGAATTATTTGAGACAATTATATATAATACTGACCGTCCAGCCACCACCATCTGTTTCCATATCGCAATATACTGACTGTGGTTCATTTTCATCTGGATAGATTTTATATATTCCACTGTGTTCATGTTTTCTGTGAAGATCTTTACAATCCTTTGGCTTGAAATCTTAAAAAAAAAATTTGTTCTAAATAAAATAAAAAAGATACAGATCTATGAAGTAAGCGCATATATTTAAAAAAAGAACAATTATACCACCAACCTTTCTTTTTGAAAGAATGCTGAATAATACTAGAATGAACATCAGAAAATTGACCCCCCTTTTTTTTAAGAAACGCTAGCGCTGTTTGTTTGTAAGATCAGGACATCGCAAATGTACTACGGAATCCGATGATTTTAAACGTATAGATTTTAATTGATAGTATTCCTGTATCAAATTTCTAAAGATTTTTTTTTTAATATTAGTTTAATTTTTCTCAAATAATAATGTAAACACGTTATTAGAAATTACAATTTTCTAGATCTGTATCCGATGGCGGAAATGACGTACGTGCCTTTTGTGACCAGTCTTATAAAAAGTGTTTTTATAAAGTCATGAATATACGATTCATGTTTAAATTTTTTATTGCTTTAAATCACCCTTCCAGTTCACCACTCTTCGTGTTGATTCGTCTTAACTTATTACTATATTAAAATGAAAATAAGATGATTGCCCGTAGAGATTTACAATAAGTGTATGACTCCGACCCAAGTCCAAATACAAGTCAGAATAAGACATGTAAAATGAAGGGGGCATCTCAAAATGAATAAAACAAATATTGTAACCATTGCACTTTAATCATTATATTATTTATTGAAAACTTGTTTTCGGCGATTGATAAAAGGCTTTTGTTGACGAGGAACAGGATCAAGCTACTCCTCAACGAACAGTAGAGGAACCTGAACTTAAACAAATAATGGGCCTGACAATGGAAAATTGTTTGAAGGAATGCTAACATAGGACAATTTTTTTAATTTATTTGTCAGTTAAAAAAAGGCTATTGAATAGCTGAAATGTTAATAATCTTATGGAATTGTCTTTTTGAAAAAAAAAGAAGCATCGCATGGTTCTCTGTAAGACTTATTTCTGTACACTTCTAAAATCGGACAAACAGTTGCAGGCTAACTTGATAAGGATAATGATTAGATTGATTGATTGATGATTGATTGATTGTCGGAATGACTTAGAAGATTAACGGCATTAAATGCCTGCTGATTGAATATTCGAAATGATTCACATAACTTATGAAATCTCATCAAAATCGATTCGAACAGGAGAATACATTACAATTCACTCTCGTCAAAAACACAAAACAAGTATTTCTTACCACAAAAAGGTTGATACAATGACCAATCATTAAATTCAAAATGTTTATCCTATCCTCCAAGATAAGACTATACACAGTAGAAACAAATACACAACCCCCCCCCCCCCCCCCCCCCCTTAACTCAAATATTAACAATAGTATTATCCAATTTCCTTTTAAATAATTGTCAGTTAGAAAAAGGACCATTTAACTTAAAAAAAGTTTTTTATGTAAACGATACGATTTATGAGGTAACAGGAGCAAAAAATGGTTGTTCTGAACATATCTGTTACATGCGTAAATGAAAAACCGCCTATTCTACAGTAAAAATGAAGAAAAAAACCGTCATTAATTTGATAAATATTTTGCCCTATCACCACGCAACGATTGAGCAAGGTACAATTAATCATTGTACATATTATTTTGATATCACCCCTATATCTTACCTGTATGATTTGTAGTCTTACTCGTACTTCCTAATAAGACAACTCTCCGCCAGAGACCAAATTACATAGAAGACTTAACAAATATAGGTCTCCGCACGGCCATCAACAATGAACAAAACCCATACCGCACAGTCAGCTATAAAAGGCCCCGAAATGATAATAATTATATATGTATTAAGTATATATTACACTTCCACAGATTTATATCTCTATCGTACCCGACCCGATGGTTATTTCATCTTTTGTTGGTTTAACTTCGAGTATTCCTACGGCACGCATTGTTGAAATGTTTTTCGTGGAGATCACGTGCAGACATTGATCTGTATTAAAACCACGAGACTTTGTCAGCCAATCAAAATAATTGAATTTTATGAATTATCTACATGTACATGTATGTTAACGTAATTTTATGAATATTTACCCGTCTTTTTGTTTCCATCAGCCGCCATAAGATTTAAAACTCTGTTAGCAGTATCTCCATAGAAACATACACCTGTAAAGTACCATGTGACGTACTTTAATCTTAAAAATCAATTTAATTTTTTTTTTCTCGAAAAACCACGAGTTGGTTCACCGTTACGGAATATCTGTTTCACAGATGACAACGGATATGTTCCAATCGTCGTAACCACATTCCCGTCCTCTTTCCCCCGAATGTGACCTACCGAAAGAGACACATCACCACGACGGGTGTCACATTAGCAGCAGGAGCTACTTACCCTTCCAAACCACCTGAGATCGCCCCCGGTTTTTGGTTGGGAACGTGTTTCTCAGTCTTTAGTTTTTTCTGTTGTGTTTTGTATACTGTTGTTCGTCTCTTGGTATTTTTCTATTTTGCCATGGCGTTGTCTGTTTATTTTCGACTTATAAGTTTGAATGTCCGTGTGGTATTTTTCGCCACTCTTTTTCAAGTGTTAAATGTATTTAAAATAGTCGGATAGCAATATAAACAGTTGAAAAAACACTGTTCAAATGTAATGCACATGTTATATTAACTAATGGAACTCTATATAAAACATACGCATATGCATGGTTATGTTGCTTAGTCCAGGTCTAGATTAATATTACTACAGTGTAATTATTAACAAAACTTTTTAAAATTTATTTGGTAAATATTGCAGTGAAACCGGTTACATCCTCATAATCTTGGACAATTTCGACTTTGGAAATTACAAAACTCATAAATCTTTAACAAAAATCAAAAAGTATCGTTTGATTGTTTTGGTTGCTGTCTCGTTGGCATATTTCCCAGGTATCATATTATTCACCAGAATCAGGCGCAGATCCAGCCATTTTGAAAGGGCGTGTTATACACATGCAAGTCATATAAAATGGGGGGGGGGGGGGGGGGGGGGGTTCCAACCATATGTCCCCATACCAAAGCATTAGTTGTCAAACAAAAATTGGAGGGTTCAAATCTCCGGACTCCCCCCCCTGGATCCGCCACTGAGCATTTCTATTTATCAGGACTAAACAAATCATATACATTTGTACTCACCACTATTTGATGATGACGTAACTTTATTGCCGGTATTTTGCGAATAGGATTCCACCATTCCCTGCAGAAGCATGGAAAATAAATACATAAACAATTGTTTTGAATACATCTGACTTCAATCTGTTGATTAAATGTTAAATCTATACAGTGCTCAGCAAGAAAAAATGATGTGTTTTGCTATCTTTCTATATCATGATACAGTCGTGAACGTTGCTTTTTTTTTATATCGCATGACAAGAAATTTTGGCAGATGATTTTTTGTTTACGTGTAAATTTTGGAAATGTAACACTATTTTATATTGATTTCAAAATCAATTCTTGTATCAGATGTATCATGACATAATATTTGGCTTCGTTTGTTTTTTCAAGGTCTCAGTTTGGCAGTCTTTGTTTGCATGAAGAACAAAGCAGAAAATGTGGTTGATCAAAATAGTTATTGTTTCGTTAGGTGTATTTTACTAAAAATTGCTATTACATCAAATTATATTTTTTTTCGAATTTTTTAATATGTTTTTTTGTTGCATAAAACCAAATTCAATAACTTTCAAAAGACGAACAACTTTAAAATTTTAAACTAAATGTTTGACATTGTTAGTAGTTAAAAAAAACGTCTTTAGTTCTTAATTTTCGATATAAAAAAAGAATGGAAAAGCAAATTAACTGAGCAGTTTGTGCAATATAAATACGAAAATGTCGAAAAATAAAAATGCGACAAATATCAATGTTTGTGAAGCAGGCAGGATCTGCTTACTCTTCCGGAGCACCTAAGATCGCCCACGGTTTTTGGTTGGGTTCTCAGTTTTCTATGTTGTGTTTTATAGACTGTTGTTTGTCTTTTGGTCGTTTTTTATTGCTATGGGGTTGTAAGTTTGTCTGCGACAAATAAGTTCTAATATCCCTTTGGTATCTCCCGCCTCTACTTTCTGAAATATAAATTAAAGTTTTCTTAGAGCTATTTATTAATTTAGGTAAGAAAAATGCACAAATTCATCGCTTCTCGAAAATACCTTCAAAATATAGGGACTTTAGGGCCTACAACGTATTTTACTGAAGAAATTAGCAGTCAGGTTTTTAAAATAGATCAATTTAAGAATAACATGTAACCTTTTTGATAATTTAAGATATGGTTGTAATTCTAGATCATATTTTGATAAAAGTGAACCTTTCCGATCGCATTATCCGCCAAATAGGCATTTCTCTGGTAATGATAAATTATATTTGATAATACAACACGTTGAAATTGGTTGTAAATTAAATACGTTAGCGATTTTATATTGGTTTCGAAGTAGACCACCATAATGTGTTTTTCCTTTTATGTTTCCGCATAATAGCCATGAGCTACATGTATATCACATACATCATAGCTTATAAATGGAATTTCAAACTGTAAGGAGTTTTAATGGCAAGTAAGGTCCCATTTCTATGTTGTTGTTTATCCGCTATATTTTCAATTAAAATAAAACATTCTTACCAATCAGCAGCCTATGTTTTAGGCGGGGGTGTTCTCGTTTGAATTGTTTCACATTTGTTGTCTTTTATATAGCTTAAGTGTGAGTTTTGCTCATTGTTGAAGGTCATACGGTGACATATACATGTAGCTACTTGTTACATATCATTATATAAAGTGTGCTCCAATCAAATTTCCAGAGACAATTCAATATAGGAACTTGAGAGCTACTAGTTTTTGTAAAGCATTGATCATTTTTTTTACTTTAGTTGAATTTCCAGACTGCTGTGTAATATGTAGTATGATAATCAATGAGACAATTCAATAACGTGCATTGTACGAATGTCCAGCTTTCTACACAGTGTACTAACTCTTTAGAATGTGATATTTTGTGAGAAAAAAAATCTAACCTGACCTATTTGTCCCACTATTTCATGTAGTGACTGTACGTTTATCTTTGCCAATTATTTCTTACCCGATTTAATATAATAGAGACACATCTTTGTGTAAAATATTTTTTTCTCTAACAAAAGTAGACCTAATATGCAAGTACATCTTTTTATGTATTTTCCTCCTACTCTGCATACTTAAATGGTAACACACTTTCTTTTCGTCAATTTAAGCGTCTTCCATCTTGAGATGCTAGTAACGTACGTTACACCTATCCGCTTTCCCCAGTGCTCTTTGCTAAACATACCACATCACCTTATAATCATACTAATGTCGTACACGCAAGTGTATCATTTGTCTGCCCAAATTGTTCATATTATGTTATCATTGTGACATATTTACAGAAACCAAACAATTTTGATATCGACGATAAAGACATCTGATTATGGCAATGATTGGCGTCTACAGTCATAACAAATATTGCCAATATCGACATCTGGTTATGTCATGGGTGTATAAAATCATCATCGATAAATAAGTAATTATTGCCGATATCGATGATACCGACATTTCAGTTATTCTTTAGACATGTATGAAAATATCAAAGGAGTAAAGAGATATATCAGAAATCGCGTTTGATCAATATTCTCTTCGCACAAGTTAATAATATCATGTTGCATCGTGTTTAGACTTATCTCTTGTACTTCATCACAGGCACTTGCCTCTGATTTTGTTTTATCTATATATGCGTATACCTTAATGTTATAGTAAGGTGTAAAACGATTCAGAGAAAAGTGTTTGTGACTTTCGTGTTAAAATAAAATATAGAAATTCATAAAATACGTACCAATAATATCATTTTTAAACAATACTTTTCTTGGTCTAGATGTCCATAATTTCTGTACCAAATAAAACTTTGGGATAGATTGCATTCGATTTGGCAATTTAATCTTGCATTCGTGTTGGCAATTTAATCTTGCATTCGTTTTGGCAATTTAATCTTGCATTTGTTTTGGCATTTTAATCATGCATTCGTATTGGCAATTTAATCTTGCATTTGTATTAGCAATTTAATCTTGCATTCGTAATGGACAATATTACATATTTCATATCCAGTTGTCTCCCGTTCATCAGAAAATAATTTCAACAAAACATACAAAAATCGTTGCATTGCCCGTCCAATTTGTTAGTTAGTAAAAAACATTTTCTTCACTTCTACCGACGTCTCTTATAAGCAAAGTAAAATCATTAATACTACTGACATGAGTGTCTTATCCTAGACGTGATATCTTTGATGGTCAAAAGTGTCAAACATGGACAACATAATTGTTTTAGAATCGACCAAGAAGCTGCAATATTTTGGCATATGTATTTATACCAAAAGGGGAAAATGTTTGTTTTACATTCAAATATCATCAGGTTATACTAGACTCAAGCTGGCAGCCACTTTTAGCAGCCAATCAAGATAGCAGCCACTTTTTTTCCAGCAGCCAATTTTGATGATATGTCTAAAAACCAAAAAACTGTATAAGACTCAAACGTTCCAAATATCTCAAAATCTTAGTTAAATGTAATTCAACAGCGGAATTTGACAATTTCACGGCTTGTAGTCATTCTCAAAGGATTTCAGTCCGTTCTAAATACCAATAATGATAGCAGTCACTTTTTTGTTGGCAGTTGTAAGGAATCGTATTATATATATAATTCAAACCAATTTGGAATGAATAAACAAGATGCAATGCACGATAGAAAAGTTACATACATGCTTTCCATAAACTCGGCATGCTCAAATATCAAGTATTTTCGCTGAAATCATTTTTAATATTTTTTTTTGTACATATGAAATGAATACATTTTGATATACTTGTAATGGTTATCTATATTTTAATGTGAACAAGTATTTTCACAAAACTCCTGCGTGGACTATTTTGTACGGCATGCATCATTACCAACTCATTGAATTAAAACTGAAACTTTCCTTGTCAAATGTGCCAGTACAAATAATTGACATATAACTAAAACTGTGGTTAAACGGGCCCGGATCCCAGACAAATATTTAAGCGGGGAATAACCTAGGTCAACACCTTTAAAATGAGCTAGGTCTGGTTCGGAACTTTGCCGTAGGGAGTTGCCGAGGAGTACCGAAAGCATGTGTAGTTAATACGAAAAGTACGTATAGGGACAACTTTGAACCCCTGTGGTGGCCAAACGTATTTTTTTTCTATAACAACAACTTTGAAAATCTACAAATACCGAATGGGCCTAACTCCCAAAAAAACCTTCCAGTGGGCCCTTTCCTAAGTTATTACCTTTCATTTGAGCTATGTCCTGTAGCGAACTTTGCCGTACGAAGCTGGCGAGGCTTACCGAAAGAGTGTATGGTGGAGACGTATTTTTTTCTATAACAACAACTTTGAAAATCTACAAATACCGAATGGGCCTAACTCCCAAAAAAACCTTCCAGTGGGCCCTTTCCTAAGTTATTACCTTTCATTTGAGCTATGTCCTGTAGCGAACTTTGCCGTACGAAGCTGGCGAGGCTTACCGAAAGAGTGTAAGGTGGAGACGTATTTTTTTCTATAACAACAACTTTGAAAATCTACAAATACCGAATGGGCCTAACTCCCAAAAAAACCTTCCAGTGGGCCCTTTCCTAAGTTATTACCTTTCATTTGAGCTATGTCCTGTAGCGAACTTTGCCGTACGAAGCTGGCGAGGCTTACCGAAAGAGTGTAAGGTGGAGACGTATTTTTTTCTATAACAACAACTTTGAAAATCTACAAATACCGAATGGGCCTAACTCCCAAAAAAACCTTCCAGTGGGCCCTTTCCTAAGTTATTACCTTTCATTTGAGCTATGTCCTGTAGCAAACTTTGCCGTACGAAGCTGGCGAGGCTTACCGAAAGAGTGTAAGGTGGAGACGTATTTTTTTCTATAACAACAACTTTTGCTATGTCCTGTAGCGAACTTTGCCGTACGAAGCTGGCGAGGCTTACCGAAAGAGTGTAAGGTGGAGACGTATTTTTTTCTATAACAACAACTTTGAAAATCTACAAATACCGAATGGGCCTAACTCCCAAAAAAACCTTCCAGTGGGCCCTTTCCTAAGTTATTACCTTTCATTTGAGCTATGTCCTGTAGCGAACTTTGCCGTACGAAGCTGGCGAGGCTTACCGAAAGAGTGTAAGGTGGAGACGTATTTTTTTCTATAACAACAACTTTGAAAATCTACAAATACCGAATGGGCCTAACTCCCAAAAAAACCTTCCAGTGGGCCCTTTCCTAAGTTATTACCTTTCATTTGAGCTATGTCCTGTAGCGAACTTTGCCGTACGAAGCTGGCGAGGCTTACCGAAAGAGTGTAAGGTGGAGACGTATTTT